GTGCAGGGTCAACAAACCTATAGAGGCGCAATGTCGATGCAAAGTGCAAGCACAAGGGGCAATCGGCAACAGCGACACCCAACTTCAAGAGGAAGAAAGAACGGGAGAGAGTGAGGGAGGCGCGTGTTGCAATAGGTTGCAACGGGATAACAAAACTTTAAAAATTATCAATTAAAATAAATGTTTTTTCTAAAAAAAATTGTCACTAAAAAAAATTTATTTATTAAAATATTAATTACTATTTTAAAAATAAGAAATATTTATTTTAATTTTTTTTCACTTAACAGGTTGGATTCTCTGTTATATATCTCTAAATATAATAGAAAATTTAAAGTCATCTAGTTTTATCTAAAAATAAAAAAAAAATTTGTTAATTTAAATTTTAATAATAAATAAAATTATTTTAAGATAAAATTATTTTTAAAAAATTATAATATTTAGAATAAAAGATAATATTATTATAAATATTATTCTACAACAAATAATGTAAAAAAAAAAATAGATTACACATTCATATTATAAATTGATACAAATAAAAACAAAAAGAATATTTAAATTTATACTTTAAGTTGAAAATTTGTATTGCAACAAATTTAAAACAATTTAAGTTATTAATAAATCTTTAACCACTTATTCAATAATCTAAAAGCAAGTAAATCATATATTGGTATTATAAAATATTGTATGAAAAATAATTTCAAGTAACTAAATACTTAATTATTTATATTAAAAAATTACATCTTAATTATGTATGTCATAAAATTTATTTATAAAATAGAAAGTATATTTTAGTTAATTAATAAAATAAATGTTTGAGAAATTAAAATTTTAAATAAATTATTTTTTTATAAGATTTAAAGTAACTTTAATATACGTATGTTTTGACAAATTTATAATACTTGAAGGGTAGAGATGTTATATATTAACATTATAAATTATTATAATAGTATAATTTAAATTTAATTAAAAATTTAATAACTTAATCATTTGATAATTAGATGTGAGAATATTTAAAAGATATTTGAATTAAATAATAAAATAATTATTCAATTAACTGAAAATAATCAAATTATTATGTTAACAAGGTGAAGATAATTGCAATGTAGTTAGTAAAATAATAAATTAATTATTTGATAATCAAAGAAAAATATATAAAAAAGTATATTTTAAGTGATAAATACATGATTGATTCAATAATAATATTATTTAACTTAAAAAAAAATTTACGTAGCATGGAATTTAAGGAGACATTATCACACAGAAATTTTAATGATGTATAATGCCTAAAGATAAAGATACTATACATTAATATTATAAATTATTTTATTTATTTAATAAATTTTTTAATTTAACTAATAAGCAGATAAAAAAATTTTAAACAAAGAAAATAAAAATATACTTTAATTTAATAATTACTCAATTAATTGAAAATGAAACATAATTTAATTTCAAGATAAACTTATATTATTTAATAACTATAAAGGAAGTTTAAGTAAAAATCAAATTAAACAAAATGAGTATATAATTGATTAATTTTAAGAATAATATTTAATTTTTAAATATATTAATAACATATAAAATTTAAAATAATGTTAATATACATATATTTTATCAATTTATTACATATAAAGATAAAGTCTCCCCACATTAAATTTATTTCATATAAGACCTCCAGTAATGTAACTTATAACATATTACTATAAAAAAGTTACACTTAATGTTATAACTCATTCTATATATAAATTTGATTTATTTGTTATGATTTAAAAAAGTACATATTATTTACTGATTATGAAATAAAGAAAGAATACAAAAATCTAAATCAAATTTATCGACCTTACACAAAAATAAAATTATCGTGGAATAAAAGTATAAATAAACAAACATGATAATTGAATAATTAAATAAAATAAAAACATTAAAATTTCACACACGTTATAAAGAGGATTCTAATTTTTCATGTTACTATATCCGTCCTATCATTATCATTTATATATGCAAATACTAAAATTTATAACCTAAAAAAATAAACACTAAATATATTAACTAAAGAAAATTATTAAAAATATAAAAATAATAAATAATATAGGAATGCGTATATTATTTTAATTTTTAAGAATTAATAATTATTTTATTCCATTTTTTATTATATTAAAGAAATTAAAAATTATAACTCAACAAGATAAATTAATACAATAATGATAAAATAAAATATATTTAAAGTTTTTATTTTATATTATTATTATTGTTATTATTATTATTATTTATCATAAGCAATAAATAAAAATAATTTAAAACCAAATTAGTCCAAATTCATTTTTAGACAATGTTCCTGATTTTAGATAAGGTCCTTAACCCTTCTACTTTTTGTTAAAGGCCATAATTTAGCGAACTCCTGTATACTTTTTATTGACTGTTAGAATATGATTGTTCTATTTACCTGTTTGGTCAAAGTTATGAAACTAGTTTACCCATTTATTTTTATATATTATTTTTCTGTCAAAGTTTAGAATATGATTGACTTATATATATATATATATATATATATATATATATATATTTATTTATTTATTAAAATCAAGAATTGACTAGACCCTTAACATATTCTTCGAAGACCAAAACTTAACTTAACTTAACGGACACATTTTACTCTTCTATTTAAGCCTAATATTTACATGTCAATCTTTATTTTCATTTAGAGGGCAACATCTACTTACCTCTTTTAAGTTTCCTATTCTAAAACCATCATATGACTTGCAATTCTTTATATTTCTTTGTTTTAATTCTTCTCTGTGTTTCCTTTAGTACCATATGCTTACCATGCTTATCTTTGATGGTTTTATAAACTAATCGGTTTCAGACAAAATTGATTATTTTTTTACTAAATTTTTATTACTATAAATATTTATATATATATATATATATATATATATATTATTTGATAAAAGCTAAATAAAGAGGACAATTGTGAATATTTAATTTTATTTAATTCTTTTTTAATGCTAATTTTATGGTCTTTTTATACCAAAAAAGAGAATAAAAATTTTTATTTTTCTAAAAAGTAAAAATTGGCCTTGAAAATTCTGGAATAAAACAATTTTTTTTACATAAAAAAAGAAAAGTTTAAAGTCGAAACACAAAAATACAAGAGAATAAAAAACAGAGCAACATGAAAAATAAAAATTGACAATAAAAGAGAGAAAGAGAAAATAAAGCTTTGAAGAAATAGAGGCTCAAAGAAAAAGAAAAATGAATAATAAAAAAAAATTAAAACCAGAGAAGGAAAGCATGAGAAGAAGGAAATAGATACCAAATCAAAGAATAAATTCACACAAAATCAAGTAATTTTCATTTTCTCAATGGTATAACTTGTAATTATGATTTATTTTCTTTACAATATTCATAATAATATTCTCATTGATATCAATATGTATTTATAACCTATGATTGTAAATGGATATTATGTGATTTTATTTCTTTGTAATATTCACAACAATATTCATAATGATATTAGTTCATATTTCATATTTTCTCATGTCACCGCCCTTGCCACCTAGTTGTAGAACCTTCATGGTAGTCACGTCCATCTCCACAAGCTTGCTCACCCTATCACTATTAATTGATAACACTACTAACTCAAATATTGCTACATGTTAATTTTTTGTCGCACATGTTGGTTTTTCTTGATATCACATAAGTAAAAGGATTAAAACCAACAATTTTTGAAAATTTAGAAACTAAAACCACCAAATAAATTGAATTGAACCAAAATTAAAATTTTGTATATTTTGATATACTAAAAGTAAATCTACATACCTAGATATGTGCATGTGTGGAGAGACCAAATTATATCAGTATAAGTATTGTTTACTTTTACATTGTCAATAACTTTTTTTTAAATATAATTTTTATTAATTTAACCATTAAATTATAATTATATATTATCTTAGTTATTTGTGTCAAATTTTATTAAAATTGAACAATTATAAGAATGTAATAAAAATATCTTTATTTTGATAAATTTTACAAGTATATATTACATTAATTTTGATTTAAATAAATTAAGCATTAAATAATTTTTAATAAATCAAAATTTTCAGACAATTTTTGTTATTAGAACTTTTAATCTAACAATTAATTTTAAGATCAAATATCTAATAAAATTATTAAATATTATAAAAATAAATATAACTTATATATATATATATATATATATATATATATATATATATATCGTGCGCTTAATATTATTATAAGTATTATTTATAATATATTTATTTGGTATTAATATAATGAATAACTATTATTACTAGCTACAAACAATTAAACTAAAATAAAATAATTGTACTAATATAATAAGAGCGATAATTATTTCATTATGATTATAATATAATTATATTATAAAAACAAGCTTTTATTATGGATATAATTATTATATTTTTGTAAGATTTTAATTTTAGCTCTTAGAAAGTATTTTTTTTTCAGTGTCCAATTTTTTTCTAAATTCGAAATTTTTTATCCTTAGCAATGATGTAGTTAACTCAGAAATTTCATGCATAAATTTATTGTATCATGTATTTAATTTTTTGTTATGATGCATCAAAAGTGATGAATTTAGATAAATTAAAGAATAAAATCAAAATCATGCAAAGAAACATAGGGACTTGAATAAATTTAAACAAAAAAATGATATCTATTTTTTAACTAATATATTAAAAAAATTATGTTAATCTAACTTTAAAGTTATTGAAAATATTTTAAAGCTAAATAAGTAGTTTAATTTTTGTAAAAATATTATATTTATCTAATATTAAAAATACGATGCTAAATAATATCATTTTAATTTAGGTTGTCTTTGACAAATATAAAATGATTAAATTTAAAAAAGAAAGAATCAAAGAAATATAGACAGGTAAAGTTCAGTTTTTTATTAACAATAGAGACATAAACAAGTCCAAAAGGAACAAGTTTTTATAAGGCTTATTTGATCACATCATTATTCATGAATAGATAGATTTGTCACGGATTTGATCTGAACCACCATGGTTCTCTCTTGCAATTTGATTGACATTGGGCTGTAAGAAAGGATGATGAATAGAACTGTGGTGATTTGGCTTTGAACTATCCACATTCTTTTCTAAAACATGATTAATTTTACTTCTTTCAAAAGAAAAGTGATGAATAGGATCTGGACCTCCTGGACTTTCTCTTAGAATAGAATCAACGATGTTAGATCTTAAAACATTATCATCATGGATTGGATCTGGACCTCCAGGACTTTCTCTTAGAATGCGATGAACAGTATTATCATGGATTGGATTTGGACCTGCAGGACTTTGTCTTAAAACACCATTAGTGCTGCTTGGCCGCAAGAACCTGTGATATGCAGAAGCTTCTCTTGAAATACGATCATTGTTATTATCAGAACCTGTTTGAAGTTGTGTGGATTGAAGAGAGCGAGTTGCGATTATTTTAGCATTGCCAGTGAACAGTGCTAAAAGAGCAACTCCGATTAGGACCGATGTAGGAGGAATTCTGGACAAGTTTGTCATATTTTTAGAGACAAGTAGAATGTAATACTTAGTTATGTGAATACAATGTAAGATCAAGGTATGAATATATAGGACTGATTCGGTGCTACCTAATTTAAAATCTTATCTTTTTATGGCAGGTATATTAAAATCCAGTTTTGGAGTTTTGGAGTTTTGTTGAAGTGACCATTTTTTCAACGGATTTTATCTGATACTTTATTATTCGATTTATAATCTGAAACCGACTTTTTTTTTAATCGGACTGTTTCTTTTTTCTTTCTTAATTAGACTTCCAATCTAAGAATTTTTTATCCTTTCATGTTGGTATAAATGCTGTCTAATCTAATAATTTATTATTCTATCTGGTAACAGTTATCGATGTTTATTGTAACGCATTTATTTTATTATTTAAACTCTTAAATAGTTTATATTGAAACAAAAAATTAAGCACTTTTTTTATATTTTTAGTGGGAAAATTTACAAATTTTTTAAAATTATTTTTATTATTCAATAAAAAATAACTTTAATGATATACACAATAATAAAAATAAAATATGAGTAAATATTTATTATCAAATTATACATTTACACTTAACATTAACGAAACATGTGCATTATATATCATTTAAATATAGAAGTCTGATATCTACAAGTCATTATCCAAAATACATTAGAACTTAATTTATATAATTATAATATCAAAATACAATAAGTCTTATAAAGCAATCTATTTTCATACCAAAATACTGAGAATATGATCTAGTCATTATTCATAAACCAATTCTCTATTTCTTCTAACTCTTTCGATGTCAAGTCTTTTTCATAAAAATATCCAACGTCTGCAATGACTAAAATGGACTGATATTCCAAGATGGTAACGATGGTGGAAAGTATAAACATAAGTTTATAGCCTCTGATGTATGAACTGTTCTTTTATATACATACGAGTTGAGAGTATGATAGATTATACCACTAATAAGGTAAGGAAAGGGAATACAATACCTGTAACACCTTAAATTAATTTCTGAGTAATAATTTCATAAAATGGGAGTAATAAAATTTTCATTTAAATAAAGATCCTATCATAGAGCTTTATAAAACAATTCAAAACAATAAAGGATTACAAATTTATATCAAAGATTGCTACAAGACTAATCAGTTACATCATAATTTCAAAATACCATCTATGTCCTATAGCAGTTCATCTTTCCTTCACTAAATCCAGTGCTAATCATCTTGGTCACCTGAAAAATAAATGTAAGGGCGAGTACTGTACACTATCTAACACACATAAACATAAAGACTCACTTCAAATACTACACATTTACTAACATATTTTAAATCATGCATTCACAATACAAGTATCTCAATCTCAACCACAATCATCATTCATCATCTATTCCAATTCAAAGCACAATCACTTACTGCACCAACAGTTCACACACGTGCGCTTGCCGCACCTAGCCACGCTCACTGTGGCGGTACTATGATCACAGTTTCACACCATGAATGGTCGCCAATTACCCCCGCCTCATGGATACTATGTGGGCAGTCACGGGTCGCTCAGCAAAGGTAGTGGTCAGAGGTCTAGTCAGGAGGAGAGTGTATGGCCCGTGGTGCACCCATGCTCACTGTTGGTGTCACTACCACTCTTTCTTCTCCACGATATTTCCAATGTCCCCATCTTCTATACCTCTAGTGTATCACTTAACCATTCATAGCATCATTACAACGGTGTTCAACACGCCCCATTCACACACACATTTTCAATTACACACAATATTCATACTCGCATACGGCATACATTGTCCACATTTATTCACATCACACAGCATATAGGCCCATATTCCTTTTTCAACACACAACATAAGTACCCACATTCCATTACACATTATTTTCCACACATTCATTTTTACATTCTCAATTGAGGGTATGTCAACCCCGAAATCAAACCACATAATACTCAACATGCAATAATTTTCATCACATCACACATCTCCTACTCTCTATCTCAGTCACATTGTAACATTTAACGAAATAAACGTTAAATTAAACATAAAGAGATAAGGTAGAGTCTCCCCTTACCTCAAGTGAAGACCCACACACCAAAACAATAAGGTAGGCGCTCCCCCACACGAACTTTGACCTAAATACATGCAAGAACCTCATGAGAACCCAGGAAAATCGAGAAATTAGAGGATGGGGATGAAAAACCAAAACCCTAACCATTAAAACTCACCTCTAAGCATTCCCTACACAAATCCAACCTTCAATCTTGCTCCTAAGCGGCATAGAGGCAATTTAATCTGTGAAATAGGGTTTGGAAGTGAGGGAATCGAAGAAATCTCGAAGGAAAAGTGAGAAATGAAATTTTCCCAAACCTTAACCCCTTTAAATCCCTTTTTGGTCGGAACACTCTCTCTATAGCGAGATATTCTCGCTGTAGCAAGGGATGCCATAGCAAAAATCTCGGAGGAAATTGCATTTTGGTTTCTGCAGAATCTCGCTACAGCGAAATTGCACCCAGAAATGCATTCCAAATTGTCGTTTTGTCGCTACATCGAGAGACCTCTCGCTGCAGCAATAAGGCAACAGTTTTACGCCTTTCTCCCAAGGCCTTCTCACTACAGCAAGAATGCCCCAGTATTACACCCTTCACCTATTTTTTCAGCCCAAACAATCCAACTCAATCATATACAACTACAATTATACTCACTTACTCACATGCATTCATACACATCGACATCATCATTACGCAATCAAGTGCACACTCTAACATCCATTCATATATATATATATATATATATATATAGACACACACACATAATAATAATCGATATTACAAAAATCTGGGGCGTTACAGTACCCTACAATGATTTCTACTGTAATTACATTATCAATTCCATGTTCATTATCTATTACAAGTTTATAGTGGCAAACTCTTTGCCGCTCTCTAAATACTTAATTTAACTTACTATCTATGGTACACTCAGTTAGTCTGATGGATCTCTAGTAGATGGTCATCCTTGTTTCCTGAAAATGTTAGTAGAGACAAGCTTTTCTCCTCACCACTGAATCAAGAATAAAATCAATTGAATAATTTCAACACACACATTTAAATCACATACAAATTAATTCATAACAATAAGTCTATCAACCATATCACTAATATGTATACAATATTTTTCACATATTATGATCGCATTTTATTAGAACTCTTATTTTTCTTTAGGCCCTTATTTCAATAAATCATTACTCCTGAGATTCTTTGAGGTTTTGCACGTGTATAAATAATTACTGATTAGCTGTAGCAATCACAGATACAAGGTGTGCCAATGTGACCCCCTTTAGCAAAATATGATCAGAAGTTTCAGGCAATGAGTGTGAGCTTGTGATGTTTTTGTACTCATTAACTAAGCGCAATTAATGAAAGGCATTCATCACCCTATATTTTTCCTAGATTTTTGAAATCATCTCTATCTCTCATACTCTCAATGTATCTCTATAATTATCTATACATATTTTTATTACCTTTCATAATGACACAACTTTAATCCTATTCTTTTCTCATTATAATAAAATTTTACCCTTTTTATCTTCTTTCATAAAATCATGTAATCATGCAAAAGGTCGAACATCTCTAGACATATATTTCATATCATTAAGAGAACAACCAAATATACATCAATTCATTCATTACTTTAAACAAACAACTAGAATCTCAAGTACTTAGAGAAATCTTTTCTAAAATAAAAGAAAGTACGTCATCATACAAATGAACACACACACACACACACACACATACATACATACATATATATATATATATATATATATATATATATATATATATTTAAGATTCATTGACAGGATAGGATTCTCCTTAGCTCAATGAGAAGATTTGTTAGAAAGTTCGAAGAAGATATTGTCCAAAAGATCAAATAGTTCTTATATATTACAAAATAAGACACTTTTGAGAAAGGAGAAAAATTGAGGAATAAAAACAAGATTGAAGAACTCAACTCTGAGGAACTTACTTGAGGTCGAGTTGAATAGAAGTTCGGGCTCAGATTTGAAGGTAGTTTGAAGTTTGGAAGAGGTTTCTCTGAAGAAAGAAGTGATAGAACAGAGAAAAAAGTGAGAAGGAGTTACTTGGTTTACAATACAAGTTTTAGAACAGAGAGATTTCTTGAATATCCTTTTTGGCCCACTAATTCTTGCTTGAGCGAGAAGCATTCTTGCTTGAGTAGGAACACCAGATAAAATTTTTTACCTAGGTTTATGATAATCTCGCATAAGCGAGATCCTTTCTCACCTAATTGAGATTGGATCCAAAGAGCTTCCATGTCCTTTTATACCTTTTCGCCTGGGTTAAAGAACAGTTGGGACGGTATTATCCATTTTCGTCTGAGCGAGAATGTTTTAAAATATTTAATCTAGAAAACTCAGTTTTGCTTAGGCGAAACTTACTATAACTTCTAAAAATTTAAAATTATGCTAATTTAAAATAAGATATAATAATAAAGTGAGGATGTTACATTTATTATAGAATTATTTCTTTCTAATATTCAATAGAAAAAATTCTTTATTTTTTCTGTGATAAATGCTAGCAATCTTGTGTTCGTTGCATACAGTGTGCGGGGTAAAGTTAGCAGATAAATTAATTTAAAATTAGTTAAAGATAAAAGTTAAAATATTCATTAATTGAATTGATTTTTTTTATTAAGTTACCTATGAAAATAAATAATAAAAATAAACTAACATACAAAGACATCATTAAATGTTAGTCTAACTTTTACAATTTAGTAATTATATATTTTAAAATCATAATTTTATTTATTATAAAAACAAGAATTAAAGATTTTATTACAAGAATATTTTATAAAAGAAATAAATATGATAAATAGAAAAAATAATTTCTTAATAAAGAAATTAAACATAAAAAAAAAATTAAAGAACAATTAGAGTCACTAAATATTAAAAAGTTTTAAAAAAATTTAAAAAAAAAAATCTGTAAAACG